AGAGTAACGCACTGTTAGCTGCGTTAACTGTGGCAAAACATACTGGGATAAATTGTGAGTCTATTAGTTTATAAATGATTTGTGTTCTAAATCAGTCACTTATGAGGATCCATATCAGTTCAGATGCCGACTTAGAAGGAAGCTAGACAGCAAGGCGGCTCACTAGGGTTTGAAACAGACACATCGCTTGCAACGATAGAGATAGTTTGAGTGAGATCTTAATCACATATCTCACCTGTAGGGTAAGTCCTGAAGATGGACTCGATGATGTCAGAGGTCAGATTGTACCGCAGGCCGTTGCATCCGTCTGTCTGTGGTCTGATGTCAGCCTGTAACCACGATGACATGATCATGAGGTGAATTTACACTGTAAATGCTCTCGTTAAATCACGATGATTATTATAAATCATTTATCCATGCACATCATTATTATTTTTTTTAATTCATATGCACTCTTTAATAAGAAATCAGCTTTCCTGTAGCTCAAACAGTAGAGCGTTGGCGCTTGAAACAACAAGGTCATGGGTTCGATTCCCAGGGAAAGCAAGAGCTGATGAGAATGTAAATGTTGTACTTTGAAATGCAATGCAAGTCGTTTTAGGATAAAAGCGTCTGCCAAATGCATAAATATAAATGTTAAACGTTAACCTCCAAAATACATCTGTTCTCTTCGTGACGTGCGTCTCGGCGGAGGGTGGGACTAATTAATATCCTCCACAATCTGACATTCAGATCTACGTCAATATAGTTAGCAACGCCCAACTTCCTACAATCCAATCAATTCCAGAGGCCGACATTTTCCAGAGTCCCTACATTTTTTTTCCCATTCCAGATGCCATTTACCTTGGATGTATATCACAATAGGGAAGAAATGACTATCGCAAATTCAGTTTCATGCCGATTTTAAACTGTTAGCCTTGTGATACGTTTAAACCAACTAAGCGTGCCGTAGACTTGTAGTCAAGACCGCCTAAACCGAGACCAAGACACTACCAAGACCAGAGGGTATCGAGACCAAGACAAGACCAAGACCAAGACCAAGTCGAGACCAAGACCAAAAGTCGAGACCAAGACCAAGTCGAGACCAAGACCACAAGTCGAGACCAAGACCAAGTCGAGACCAAGACCACAAGTCGAGACCAAGACCAAGTCGAGACCAAGACCACAAGTCGAGACCAAGTCGAGACCAAGACCAAGTCGAGACCGGAGGGAAAAAAACAGACTATTGAAGCTAAGTAATAACTTGTAAGATTATGTTTTGCATTGCCTGCCTATCTCTGCCGATTTCGAAGTCTCCAAATGAATCCATTTTGCAACTTTTAAATACATAATTATATTTTTAAAAACGAAATTATAGGCTTAAGTGCAGGATCCGAAAGTTGGTCGTTTTGTCGCTATATGGTTACACACACACACACACACACACACACACCGTTGGCGGTGCGCTCAAAGTCATCTGTCAGTTGTGCTGCAGTAACCCAAAATCTCCTGAATGAAGTTAAAACCCATCATGTCACTGATATGTGTTTTACTAAATATTAATACATCAAAAACATGATATGTGTTTTTTAAATCAAGTGATCAAAGTGCTCGTTGCCGCTGCGATCAGTGGCGTGGATACGGTGTTTTCTCGTGTGGCTCGCGCACACCGCACTGTCTTAACTCGGATGCGCGCTTTAATCCGTTGCGGATATCGTCGTGGATATTGTAGTATTGTATTGCTAAATCCCCTGACCACTATGTCGGTCTGAGACAGCGAGACCTAGACAAGACCGAGAGGTCCGAGACCAAGACAAGACCAAGACCAAAGACCGTCAAGGCCGTGACAAGACCGAGACCGTCTCGAGACATACATCACTAGCGTGCCGCACAAGCCCTGAAAAGTGAAGCCAAAACGTCTTGATCGCCCCCCCGGTGGCCGGTCCTAGTATAGGTCATAAACCCCGCCTCCCTGTGTTATTCAACAGGATGTGAGACCAACTAAACAATTAAATTACACTTCAAATATCTTTTTTCTAAAGGTGGTTTCTGTCATTTGCTGTCGTTTTTATCACACTGATGTAAGTTCAAGTGTCTGTTTTTAAAATAAGTTTGTTTTTAGTTAGTTACGTGACGCTTGATTGACAGCTGTGATTGACAGGTTCTCTCTCACTGAAGCACCAACGGACTTTTTTTCGGGACCTTCGGAGGACTGAGGAGATTGTATTTACTTTATTTTAACAAGCCTCTTGTACTGCCATCAACAGACATCAAAATTGGAGCAGAACGGAGCAGACATTTACAATAAGTGCAGGGAGAGTGCATTCTGCGAGAGTGAGGGCGGGGCGTTGATATCGCGGCTTTACTTCCTGCTCACGACTGCGCAGCTCTGGTCCCGAGATTGCTACAGCGCAGACTCAAGTCCCAAGATGTCAGCGCCATATCGGGACACTGGCGGCTTCAGTTCTCACCAATGGAAGAGAGCGAAGGGAGAGAGTCATCCATCTTTTTTTACAGTCTATGGTTTGAACTCACCAGGAAGGCAGCAGAGATGCCCACTTCCTGTTGTTTGTTGTTGGCGAGGGAGTGCTCCACAGAATTCAGGCTCATCCGATTGGCCCAGAACTCCTCAGCGCTGATCACCTGACTCACCACTAAGTCCTTATAGAGCTGGAACAGAACAGGGTCTTCCTGCAACATCCTGAAACATAAAGCATCAGCTGGAGGTCAACCAACACCAATTTGCTGATGTTATAGTGACACAATAATCTAATGATGGCAAATGAGATGCAAGCAAAACTTTACCTGTTCTTCTCCTCCAGCTCTTTATTGGCTTTCTTCTTGAACTTGGGCAGGAGCTGCTGTAGCAGTTCTTTGATGGCGTCTCTGTCCTTCAGTGCTGTGCTCTCATTGGCGAAATGAAAGGTGCTGCTTTCTCCAGTGTGCAGAACCAGCTGGAGCTGGATCTTTGCCTTCCCATCAGGACTGATCTTCTGACCTGCACAGGTATAGAAAAAAAAGTCAACAAACAAATAAATATATATACACTGATGAGCAAAAAACATTATGACCAGTCACAGGTGAAGAGAGTAGCATTGATCATCTCCTAACAAGGCCACATATTAAGATGCAGGAGAAATGGACATGAATAAAGATCTGAGGGACTTTGACAAAGGCCAGATTGTTATGGCAAGGCGACTCGGTCTGAGTATCTCTGAAACGGCAAAGATTATGTGTTGCTCCCGGTCAGCCGCGGGGCTAAGCTCGGCTGGCATCCAGGCTACAACATAATTGGAGTGAGCAGAACCTTCTACCACAAATTTAATTTCCATGCTAACAGTGACTACTAAACATGATTTTTATTTTTTAGTCTGACTTGTGATTTCTACATTACCATATTTCATGACTGAACTTGAAAGGTTTATACACTGTTAAAAATCGATTTCACTGCAAAGAAAAATCTAAAATGGATTTCTAATAGTATTAATCCATGCATAATGTTGGGTTTTTAAGGCATTGCTATAAGTATTTTAACACGTCAAAGGTTGCACCAGTGCCGTTCGTCGGTCCTGGAGGGCCAGCGTCCTGCAGAGTTTACCTCCAACCTCAATTATACACACCTGAACCAGCTAATCAAGGTCTCACTAGGCATACTAGAAACTTTCAAGCAGATGTGTTGGAGCTAAACTCTGCAGGACGCTGGCCCTCCAGGACCGAGTTTGGTGACCCCACACCAAACAAACCCAAATGAGGCTGAAATGTGGGTGTAACTCACAGCGGATGTCGGCATAAAGGTGGCTGACCGAAAAGCGGTCCTTCCCTTCTGGACCCCAGGCGATCCGCTCGGCCATCAGGTACAGGGTCCCGTCCTGCTTTCTCTGACGGACCCTCTTCACCACCAACAACACCTCCTCGGACAGAGACGCCATGACTACACAAACAAAGGGACGTGCAAACCTCATTATTAATGCAGGACATTCAGATTAAAGATTTATTATGTGAACATAAATTGAACCTCCTTATTAAAGATGCCTCATCACATAGTTTGTGGTTTGTGAAGGAAATAATGGACTCAAAACCCATTAAAAACCTTTTAAGGGTTGTGAAGAAGGGTGTGCATTTAGCAGCTCTCAATAAACAAAACAAAACAAAAAAAACATGCAGAAACAAGATATTGCATCAGAGACAAAACAGCCAATAATCAGATTCTAAACAGATATTAAATATCTATATCTGATTTTAAGTCAGATATGACAACAGATTCAGATCAGACTCAGAATAGAAATCGAATCAGATCAGATATGACAGATTCAGATTAATCCGATATTAAATCAGATTCATATCAGATGGAGCTAGCAGTACTAGCACATGTCACTTATTCTTCACAAAACCCTTTGTTAAAGTCAATTAATTAAGACTCATTCTCAGTGTATGTAGAAATACAGAATCTAAACTACTGTTGCTTAATGCCAGAGACATTTTAAACACAACAAAACACATTTTAAACACATAAAGGTGAAGAATCTGAAATCTGCAACTGAAAGCTGAACTCACGCTCACAGCCGGTGACTTTAATTAACTGTTTTATTTCAATTTAATAAACCCTCACCTGGCGCTCCAAAGCAGCTGAAGCTGAAGCCTCAATATTGATCTTGTGGTAAGCGACGTGAAATCAGTGTTAATGTCAGTATTTGTGTTTTATTTACAGTCGTTACGGACGCCGTGAGTGACAGCAGCCCTCAGATCCGCCTTAGAAACAGAGTGAAGCCAGAAACAGTGACGCGCTTCCGAATAATGGCTGCCAAACGGAACATATTTTAAAATAAAAGTTCTGGATATGGTCAATGGATTCCATTTTAATAATATAATAATATAACATAATATAACAGTAATAAAATATAACTGTAATATAATATAATCATAGACTGTAAAAAAAATCGCATAGAACGCTCCGTATTACAATCATAAAACATATCGATTGTGTATTTATTTAGAATGCAATATAACTTTTATTTTGACAGCAGACATCGCTCGTGTTCCGACTACTTTCCTTATTGGTGCTGATGGAACTAAAATGCAACTTCCATACATGAAAGCAAGTGACAGTTCTTTCTTTGTGTTCATCACCAGGAGAAGTCAATGAATTGGTTTGGGTTTGGTTTCAATGGCTTTGGTCAGATACGGCCGGCAGATGTAACCTGTAAAGTGAACACACCTGTCCTGATTTCAGATGTGTGTAGATCATGTGTGCTCATATCAGACTGTAGAGTCAGAGCCAGCTGGAGCTCCAGAGCTCATGTGCATCACTCAGACTGTAAGTGAACAAACATATTTTCTTAAATAGATGATTTTACTTTGCTTGGTTTTTCTACAATATTAGTCACATTTACTATAGCCTACCTAAGCTATGATAAAATAAAATAACTGGTAGATAACACTTTACAATAAGGTTCATTAGTTAACTACCTTGGTCACCATGAACTAAGAATGAACAATAGTTCTTCAGCATTTATAAATCTAAGATAATATTAATTTCAACATTTACTAATACATTATTCAAATCAAAGGTTGTATTTGTTAACATTAGTTAATGCACTCTAACATGAACAAACAATGAACAGCTGTATTTTTATTACTAACATTAACAAAGATGAATAAATACTGCAACAAATGTATTGCTCATTGTTAGTTCATGTTGAACTAATGTTAACTAATGAATCTTATTATTTTGTATTAATATTTTAATATGATTAATATTTTGTGCATATCATTTTGTGCTTACATTTTATGCATATCCTTTGCTCACATTATATACTGTATTATATATCTAACTACTTATCTTCTATCTGTAATGTGTTTTGTTGCAGGTGGCAGTCATGTGTGTGTGTCAGGGTTCGGGTCTGGGTCATCAGAACAGGTGTGCGGAGACACTGTCCCAGAGAGTCAGGGGTGCACAGACGCTCTCATCAGTGAAAGACACCTGATGCTCACCTTCACAGACAGAGTGGAATGCTGGGAAATACAGCAGCCACAAAACAAGCTTGTGTGGAAGAGGGAGCAAGACCTCTCTGGCAATACCGGTAATATACAGACGTGCACAGCCTTATGTTGTTAAAGGGACACTCCCCCGTTTTTTCATATTGAAGGGTTAGTTCACCCAAAAATGAAAATGATGTCATTAATGACTCTCCCTCATGTCGTTCCAAGCCCGTAAGACCTCCGTTCATCTTCAGAACACAGTTTAAGATATTTTAGATTTAGTCCGAGAGCTTTCTGTCCCTCCATTGTAAATGTATGTACGGTATACTGTCCTTGTCCAGAAAGGAAATAAAGACATCATCAAAGTAGTCCATGTGACATCAGTGGGTTAGTTAGAGTGTGTTGAAGCATCGAAAATACATTTTGGTCCAAAAATAACAAAAACTCCGACTTTATTCAGCATTGTATTGTCTTCTGGTTCTGTTGTGACATTTTGATAGCACTTAGCTTAGCCCAGTTCATTCATTAGGATCCAAACAGAGATGAAGTTAGAAGCGACCAAACACCTCCACGTTTTCCCTATTTAAATACAGTTACACGGATTTATTTTGGTGACACAAAATAAAACGTGGCGCTTTTCTAAGCGTGTAAAATGGATGAACGCCATACATTATAGTTATCCATTTTCAGGGTATCCGCGGGGTCTTAAAGTATTAAAAGGTGATAAATCAATTTGGGGAAAATTAAGACCCTTAAAAAGTATTAAAAAGTCTTATCACGGCTTTATAAAGTCTTACATTTTGAAAGTATTTTTTCTGAATTAGCTGTCCAACAGTTTGAGTCCCAAAAACATCGTAATAGTGTGTGAATTTAGTCATTTTTATTAAAAAAAACTTTGCTTTGATTTACTATCCCAGCCTATTTTATTTTTTTTATTTTTTATCAGAGTGGTCTATATTCTTTATCACAAACTAAAACTGTTAATTTAAAAGTATCACTGATGTAAATGGTTACAGCTTGAAGTGGCGGTGAGGTATTAAAAAATATTGAGAAGGTCTTGAAAAAGTCTTGAAAAGGTATTAAATTGACTTCAAGATTCCTGCATATACCCTGATTTTACACGCTTAGAAAAGTGATTGAGCGCACGCACTGAGACGAGAGAGGTATGTATGATGTATCAACTCGTCTTAGTTAAAGCAACACCAAGTAACTTTTCCTCTGCGGTCGCCCTACAGGTTGGAAGCGGAATTGTCCATTACCGCTGTGGTAAATAATTTAGCCTAGCGCAGCTTACTGTCGCACGCTCGCTGTTTATCCAGCACCAGCTTTGAGATGAACGATGTCCACAGACAAGGTAGAGTAATTATGTTGCATGATTTCATGAAAGTATGATGTATTGCGACATCAGAAACGAAGAAAAACTAAAATAATGATTATTGTATCGCTTGACGTAAAGCAAGTCAAATTTGTAGTTTTCTTATGTCTCATTAGAACTACAGAAACGTGACCCGATCTGGCAATCTTACACAGCGTGGTTATAGCAGATATAGCGAAACCAGAAGTGCCTTTCACCCTGTTACGATTTAATGAACCACTGAAACGATTTTGGAAACAATATTTTGAGGTAAAACATCTTACTTAGTGTTCCTTTAAGGGAATAACATAGTTTAATATGAAAAAACGGTGGAGTGTTCCTTTAAGTAATTGGTACTGATATGAGGCATTTAAACAGGACCAACCGTCCCGCTGCCGTTGGTGCCAGGCGGGTACGTCATGCCCAGATCTCCTTTCTTCCGTGCGCTCTGCTCTGAGCTGTGTGCCGTGAGCCTGGCGTTGGGCACAGAACACGCTGTGCTGCTGACGTCAGTCGGGACTGTGTATTCCTGGGGATCTGGAAGGTACGAGGAATTAACACTTTACAATACGGTTCCATTAGTTAACATGAGCTAACAATGCAAAATACTTATAAAGCATTTATTAATCATAGTTAATTTTAATTTCAGTATTTACTAATAGTATTTAATATTAATAGTATTATTTAATAGACCCTTGGCTAACATGAACTGTTTTTATTTACTTATACTGTAACAAATGTATTGCTCATTATTCGTTAATGTGAGTTAATGGATTAAGGAATGAGTATTTTGCCCAAAATATACATTAGATTAATTGTAGAACTAATCTGCATTTATGGGTGAGTCTCACAAAACCTGTCAAGAACATATCTGTGTCATTTTTCAAATTATAAATAAGAAAATTAAGCATATTTTGAAAAATATTCATGGTAATTAACCCACTGGTGCTGTTTTTTTTTTCTGTTTTTTTTACTCTATCGGAATGGCACGAAACTTGGTAAAGGTTTTGGCTCTTTCTGTGTGATCACACAAAAAAAAAATCATGGACATGTTTCGAAAAGGTTAAACGGTCCTGAATAAAATAGTCACACATGTATTGTTCTCGGTCAAAAATGAAATGAATGGGAGACAAATCTCATCTAGTGGAAGCGTTTGGTACTGAGGCCAAACTAAATCTCACTGAAAGCTCATTTTTTGAGATCTTATCCTCAAATTTGGAAACCAGCTTGTTTAGATTTATTTATATATTTAGATTATATGTATTTATTAGCTTTGGTTTCCTCAGTTTTAGAGTAAAACATGGTTTGAAAATATAAATGTCTTTTTTAAGTTCACTTTTTTTACTTTTTGCCAAGTGTCTTTATGACGGTTAGTTTATGACAGTTTATGTTGGAAATTTCATTTATTTACAGGTAATACATGGATTATAACTATAGCATAAATATGATTTGGCACCATAAAATTCCCTTAAAATACTAAATATTGAATTAAAAACATTATCGAACTAAAATATAGTACATTCATTTCATTGGGGGGGAAAACATAGGTTATTTTTGCATTCAGGCGAGCTGTAACAGCATTTTTATTGTTAGCTAAAACCATGTAAAATAACTTTTTGTTATTAAAAATAAAGCTAAAATAAATATAAATATTAGATGAAAAACTTAAATAGAAAAATTGCCATTGCAACTAATTGAAGTAAAATAAGTTTAGATTGAACTGATACAATTGCGAAAAATAAAAATAAATTAACGCTAAACAGAAATATAAAAACTAATAAAAGTGACAAAAGCACATGACAAAATTATTAAAAATACTAAAATTTAAATAAAAACTGAAATTCTAAAAATTAAAAGCCAATTCAAAATTTTAATACATAATATAATAGTGCATAAATATTGCTAAAATAGCACAAAAAGCATTATTTTCACTGTAAATTATTTATATTTTATATATTATATTATTTAGTATTTGTTGCACCACCTCTAATTTATGCTTATTGTGAAAAATCATTGTATTACAGTAATGTTTAATGTCAAATAAAACGTCCTTTTCGAGACTACATTTTTAGCATTATTCATTTCTTTTGGTGTAAAACTTGCTCGATGTGTCTTTAAACTACTCAGTTCGCATGATAATGTTTTTAATGGTGTGTTGTTTTGGCAGTCACGGTCAGCTGGGTCACGGCGCTCTGGCGTCGCAGGACGAGCCTCAGGTCGTGGAGGCGCTGTGGGGCGTCCCGATCCGAGCTGTGTCCACTGGGAGCTGGCACTCCGCTTCTGTCAGCAGTGAGTGAGACTATCCCACTCACACTCCCCTTCAAATCCAGCCGTTTGCTTGCTCTTTGTGAGCATACTGTAAACACACTGCAAAAAATGTCTTGTCTTTTGTCTTGTTTCCAGTCCAAATATCTAAAAATTCTTAAATCAAGATGCATTTACTAAAGTAGTAAAATGCCATAAGATACTATGTCTTGTTTTATGGGGAAAAAATATCCAAATGAAGTGTTTTGTTTTTCTTAAAACAAGCAGTATGATGGCAGTGATCATCTTAAATCGTACAATTTTCTGTACGATACAAAGCGATATAATAGAATTTGTTTTGTTTTTTTTGAATGATGGAAACAGTGTTTATTTGTATAATTTTGTTAATTATGTGTTTTAGTTGTAATGTGTGATGTGTTTTTAAGCATTAATGTGAATGTATCTATGTCACCGCTCTGTGACAAACAGCATGGACAATAAAGTTAAACTCAACTCTACAGACTGTTCATCTGAAATCTGTCTGAAATAAATGTGTTGTTTATTGTGTGTAGCTGGCGGGGACCTGTATATGTGGGGCTGGAATGAAAGCGGGCAGCTCGGTCTGCCATCTAGAGGCCTGGAGGAGGAAAAACACAGAGCAAAAAGCGGTGGTAAAAGGACTAAAATATAAATGACTTTACATATGAATGTTTACTCAGGGCTGCCAACTCTCACGCATCCTTTTTCTCAGGCAGGGAAAAAACATTGGATTAGACAGAGCGGTAAACAAACTTTCAAAATCTGTCAATGTTATTCAAACAATAAATACCGTTTTGGCGCTCTTTAATGTGCCTCAGTTCAACCGATCATCTCTTCCTCTAGTCTAGTTATAGCATGAAATAAATAGGGATGCGCGATATATCGGCCACTTTATTGGTATCAGTTGATATACACTCACCTAAAGGATTATTAGGAACACCTGTTCAATTTCTCATTAATGCAATTATCTAATCAACCAATCACATGGCAGTTGCTTCAATGCATTTAGGGGTGTGGTCCTGGTCAAGACAATCTCCTGAACTCCAAACTGAATGTCAGAATGGGAAAGAAAGGTGATTTAAGCAATTTTGAGCGTGGCATGGTTGTTGGTGCCAGACGGGCCGGTCTGAGTATTTCACAATCTGCTCAGTTACTGGGATTTTCACGCACAACCATTTCTAGGGTTTACACAGAATGGTGTGAAAAGAGAAAAACATCCAGTATGCGGCAGTCCTGTGGGCGAAAATGCCTTGTTGATGCTAGAGGTCAGAGGAGAATGGGCCGACTGATTCAAGCTGATAGAAGAGCAACTTTGACTGAAATAACCACTCGTTACAACCGAGGTATGCAGCAAAGCATTTGTGAAGCCACAAAACGCACAACCTTGAGGCGGATGGGCTACAACAGCAGAAGACCCCACCGGGTACCACTCATCTCCACTACAAATAGGAAAAAGAGGCTACAATTTGCAAGATCTCACCAAAATTGGACAGTTGAAGACTGGAAAAATGTGGCCTGGTCTGATGAGTCTCGATTTCTGTTGAGACATTCAGATGGTAGAGTCAGAATTTGGCGTAAACAGAATGAGAACATGGATCCATCATGCCTTGTTACCACTGTGCAGGCTGGTGGTGGTGGTGTAATGGTGTGGGGGATGTTTTCTTGGCACACTTTAGGCCCCTTAGTGCCAGTTGGGCATCGTTTAAATGCCACGGCCTACCTGAGCATTGTTTCTGACCATGTCCATCCCTTTATGGCCACCATGTACCCATCCTCTGATGGCTACTTCCAGCAGGATAATGCACCATGTCACAAAGCTCGAATCATTTCAAATTGGTTTCTTGAACATGACAATGAGTTCACTGTACTAAAATGGCCCCCACAGTCACCAGATCTCAACCCAATAGAGCATTTTTGGGATGTGGTGGAACGGGAGCTTCGTGCCCTGGATGTGCATCCCACAAATCTCCATCAACTGCAAGATGCTATCCTATCAATATGGGCCAACATTTCTAAAGAATGCTTTCAGCACCTTGTTGAATCAATGCCACGTAGAATTAAGGCAGTTCTGAAGGCGAAAGGGGGTCAAACACAGTTTTAGTATGGTGTTCCTAATAATCCTTTAGGTGAGTGTATGTTCATTTTTAATGTTATCGGCCCGATAAGAAAATTTGTCCGATATATTAAAGCTGATAAATAATGTATTATGTCCTTCAGCTGAGACACTTCAGATGGACTGTTCACCATGAACGGTTTTGATGAATTGCTTGAAATATGAGTGAAATCTGTTTTTTTGTTAGGAAACACTGACCAGACCATAAATAAAGATGAAAAGAAGCAAGCCGATATGTTCATCTCAATTCAAGCGTTCCCTGCTCTAGTGGACGTCCCTAATGTGTCGGAGATCAGCAGGATCAGCTGTGGGTCGCGTCACACAGCCGCCGTCACAGGTGACATCACCAGGAGCGTAAACTGGACTCAAGAATGGACATGAAAAATCATTACCTTATTCTTTTCTTGTCTCTTTGTAGGTACAGGGGATCTGTACACCTGGGGATGGGGTAAGAGTTCGCTTTGTTTTATTTTTTGTTAAATAAATCAATGTAAATAGACTGTAGATACACTACATAAATGTTTTGAAAGAAGTCTCACCAAGGCTGCATTTGCTACAAAAATACAGTAATGAAATATTCTCACAGTTTAATATTTTTTTAGTTTAATATATGTTAAAATGTAATTTATTCCTGTGATCAAAGCTGAATTTTCAGCATCATTACTCCAGTATTTAGTGTCACATGATCCTTCAGAAATCACTCTAATATGATGATTTGCTGCTCAAATTTTTTTTATTATTTATTATCAATGTTGAAAACAGTTGTGCTACTTCATAAGTTTGATAAGTTGATGTACTACAGTAGTGGCCAAAAGTGATTTCTGAAGGGGATATTTGTTTTTATGACCCGTTTGATTAAACCAACAAAATATGAGGAATATATATATAAATATGAAGGAAAAACATGGTTATGACAAAAACAACAAAATCTTGATTATGGTATTTATCTGCCAAAATTATTTGGCAAAAAAAGGCAAACTACAGTTGCAGTTTTATTTTACCATGTAAAAAATGCATTAAAAAAGCCAAAAAGCTCACATAGACCACAACATAATCAGTTATTAATAATTTTTGGTTCTCTCTTGTTTTTGATGTGTTCATAATTTCTTTGCATGACATGCTGGTCAAAAACTATGTCCGCACAATTTGGCTTTGCGTTATCGCAAATAAAACAATTCACTCCAGGCACAACTACACAATATGCTTACAAAATCAATTTTTCTTTAATAATATTTAAATAAAGGGTGAAGATTTCAATTTTCCTAGGCTGGACATTACAGGATTCTTTGATGAACAAGATCTTAAGAACAGCATTTATTTGAAATAGAATCTCTTGTAACTTTTGATTAAATCTCTTGTCACTTTTGATTAATTCAGTGCGTCCTTGCTGAATATAAGTATTAATTTCTCTTAAATACTCAAACCTTCTGATTTGGTTGAGTGTGTTAATTGTTATTTCAAAAGTGCTAAAAGTTGCCTTTCCTCCGTCTGTCACATTATTAGGTCATTATGGACAGCTGGGACATTGCAGTGAAAATAGCGCAGATGAGCCGACGCTGGTGGATTATTTCCCTACGCACAGCATGTGTGTTCAGGATGTTGTCTGTGGGTTATGGAACACGTTTGTGTCCGCTGTGCCGAAAGAACAACCTCCATCCTGACAAAAACAGACCCATTTCAGAGTGCCAAATGAATACCAGGATGTCAAAGTTGCAGTATTAAGAGTTTATTAAATTAGGTACAAATATATGAACTAAAATACAGGATAGAAAGTAGATTTTTTTAAAGAGTGAGTAAAAAATGTTTTCAAACATATAAACAGTAGAAACATTAATAAGAATACATTCACATGCTACATTATTGACAGATTAAAGGCGTAGGTGAAAAATCTGGACCAGAGACGCTCCTATTCGGTGGAAACTTCACAACACAATCTTGAATGAACTGCAAAAGAAGATCGTCAGTCAGTGAGGATCAGGACAAATGCGGCCTTATGAGTTCAGAAGTCATAAATATCCTGTCATTTTGTTTGGGAAATTTCATATTTATTTCTCACTTTTTAGCTTCACTAAAAAACAGGATGCTTTTTTTTTTTTTTTTACACTAACACAAAATGTAATAGATGTAAATTAGGCGTGTAACTGATGCTTTATGTATTTTATCATTCTCATGCTGCAACAGAAAATGATATTTTATCATGTAAGCCAAATAAAATGTTAGGGAAAAAAAAGCGAAATGTTTAAAATGTACAAACTAAACCTGAAATAAATTAATTTGAAAATAAATTAATAAAGCTATATAGAAATGTTTTTTTAAACTAATAAAAGTGATAAAAGCACAAAACATAATTGCTCAAATAAAAATAATCAAATCTAAATATTAATAAATGCTATATAGTATATAATTTATACTAAAATAAAAATGCATAAATCAGCTAAATTAGTATTTTATCATTCATTTAGTGATTTAGTAGCTTTATCGCTATTCACTAAATAATACAAACTAAACTGGGCTGCGTTTCCCAAAATCATAGTAAGTCATACTATGTACTAAAAACGCTTTTCCTTTGCGTTTTTCGCGCACAGACGACAGCATTGTCAAAACGATCCCAAACGGATCTGCAAAAACGACTAAAATCACTGTATTCTGCTGCCAGGCCAGTAGGTGGCGATGACACTGTAAAGATACACTACGCATTACTTATAAACTAAACGCATATTATAAAACGGATAGTTCTGCGTTGTGCCTAACAACGCCCCTTGGCTGTTCTAAATTCACTGTAAAACACGGCTTTGCGTGGCTTTATTGCTTTAATACCGTCTATATTTAATATGCATGTACACAAATTCACGTTTTTTGTAGTTTACACAGAGCCAATAACGGTATGATGTAAATGAACGGCCAAAATGTCTAAAAACTTTTACATTTTTAGTTAAAAACTGTGTCGTGTAAACGGCCCCCCCAAGTAGATCCTAGAAGTACGATCTACTTCTACGAACCTCACAATGCTTTTGGGAAACGCAGCCCTGTGCAATAAACTTAATTAAACTAAAGGCAGCAAAATATGTCAGCTGACCAATTTGTAAATAAAATACTTTAAGCGAAATTCTCTCACCTGACAAAATCTGGAGATCTGGAGATGACGTGCTGAAATTCGGAGAGGTTCACTGTTCCATCTTTATCGATGTCCGACTCCTCCAGGATCTGCACAATTACATTAGTTCACATTAGTAGAGTTCATCTGCCAGATGTCCCTCTCGTTTGTCATGTGTGTATCCACCGGACTCACATTGCTTATGAGCTGCCTCATCTCCTCTACAGTGAGGCGAGTGTCGTCCGTCTCGCCAGTCAGGCAGTTCACCAGCTTCTCCAGATCTCTAGCATCAAGTGTACCGTCATCGTCAAAGTCTGCAGCGGAACAGAATCATGTTCAAGAACTGCTGTTTAATGGTGTTTGCTAAACTGTGAAAACTCAATTCAGAGCGTGTTCACACTTAGTTTGGTTCGCTTGGTTGGGAGTAAAAAAAACAACATTTAGTCCTGGTCTGCTTCGCGTTCACACTGGCATTTTAACACCGAACCTAAAGATGCCGAACCTTAAGACATAGGGATATGTTTAAAATATGATTGGCCGGCTTTTATTACTTGTATTACTGTTAAAGCTGCAGTCGGCAAGTCTGGCAGATGCCCCTCCCCCACTATCAACGGATACCCTCCCACCGAATCCGTGCTCGTCAGTGCGTGTGCACCAGGTTATCTGTGAACGCGCCCGTCTCATCAGCATCCATCAACACCATGGAGTATTTGGAGGTATGCTGTCCTGGCTTATCTACCGATAGATTGCAATTGCTAACGTCATTTATACTCTAAATGAGCTTACTTAATTTGTTAGTGTTTTTAAAGCGAGATACATCCGCCAACATTACTCTTCGTTACTGCGCGAACTTCAGGCGTGTGCATGTGATTGTAACGTGCGCGAGGGGTGGTGTGTGACCGATCTGTGATTGACAGTCAGATCTCACACCCCCCTGCGCTGATTGGACCCGATGATCCGGGAGCTGTGGATTTTTGCAAAACAAATAACACGCTCCAGGTGGAGTTAGAAGCTCGGGTTTTTTTTCTAAAACCACTTTATTTATGTTGTTCTGTCGGATTATAGTGTCGATTTTACTAAATATGATCAAAAAAATGTTGCAGACGGCAGCTTTAACTTACCGAACATCCAAACCAATGCTGTGTTCTGGGCTAAATGTGCTCGTTGTGTGTGTGTAGCTACATATGATGGTATTTTGACCAGCTGAGAACTCGTGGAGAGCTTATAAAATGTGTAAACGAGTCAAAACAGCGTCAGGAATCCCTCCGTCACACACACTAACACAGATCTGCTGTGAGGAGACGTGGCTTTGATGCCTGAACTGAACCGTGATGGGAAACATCACGACTATGAAGAGAAAAAACAGCTATGCTTGAGCATTCTGTCCCTTTTATAGTCGCATCTTGTGACATCATGTCCTGTTTTTGGTTCGTTACATCTCATCTTTAAGCGTCTCTATCTGTGTGTTTGAAGCACCAGGGTTCAAATGGCAGCGTTCACACTTATTCAGATGAACTGCACTAACAGAGCAATCGCACTAGGGTTTGTTTTAATCCAAATAAACATGCCATGTGTGAACACACGCAAAATGTCAATCTTTTCCATCTATTACCAAAGATCCGGAAGGCGTAATGGGACTTGATTTCCAGCGTTGCCGAATCGCTGAAGGCACTCAAGAGGTCCAGGAAATCCTCAAAGGTCAAGCTGCCATCCCTCAAGTCACAGGTCGAGAAGACGTGACAGATCCTTTTCCGGAAGGGGTTCGACTGTGAAGGATCGAAACAACAATAACAGCATATATACAGTTGAATAGGTGAAGGATTATAAGAAATTATGTTTTGCTTGAAGAAAATGAACCCTATTTTAAGAAACATTATGGTTTCTAAATTGTGACCAGAGTACAGACTTTATCTTTTACCTTCAGTTCAGGAAGCGTAAGGATCTTCTCCATGGACACCCTGGAGCTGTACGGCCCGTTTTCTCTGCCCTGGAGTTCAGAGAATCTTTTGTGTGCCCTTAACAAACGATAATCAATGACAATAGTATCATTACATTGAATGTCAAACACTTTTAAGTGTTAGTTAAGCATCCAAATAAACTTTCGGAGCCAATTTCAATAACTTTACTGCATGTTTATGTAGTTTAGTTATTGTCACAACAAGTAAATTGATACCTTGCTGTTACAAATTCACTTTACAAGGAATGCCAAAGCAAAATGTACCAGATGTGAAAATATTAAAACATTTAAAAAATAATACAAATATTAAAAAATAATATAAAAATCAGGATAACACTTTATTTTAAGGTGACATGAGTTACATGTTACTACATGTACTTATTATAGTAATGACAGTTAATTATGCAAAATTACATGTAATCATGTAACTTAACCCTAAACCAAACCTTAATCGTAACTCTATAGTAAGTACGTCGTTAATTAATATGAATTGGTACGTATTTGAGTAAGTACAATGTAACTACGTCACCTTAAAATAAAGTGTAACCAAAATCAGTTTTGGTTTTCAGTGACTGACAAAGTTAAAATATAAATATTAGGTGAAAAACTTCAATGAAAATTAAAATGGTCTCGGCAGATCACTGAAATAAAATTACTAAAAGTAAAACTGATTTAAATCGGAGTTAAATAGAAATATTAAAGATATAATTAAAATTGTAAAACAGTTTAAAAATGAAAAAATAAAGGCTATTTTAAAATTTAAAACATTATGACTTTACTTACAGTAAGATTTCTTGCTTAGTGAGAAATGTAAGCTCCTGTGTTACACAAAAAGGAAAAATATAAACAAATAAAAGCAACTCCTCTCTATAAAGAATACATTTATGTACATAAATAATAAATATATTAACTGTTACATGTGTCTGTCTCACCTGATACTCTGATAGAAGATCTTTCGGCAACTTACTCGCGGTTCCCCCCATTCCCGCCTGCTTTTGTTCTGCACGAATAGTACTTTAACTCTAAACTACAAAAAAGTCGATTAAAGTTACTATTGTTTCATAAAAACCACGGCAACTGGCTGAAGTTTAGATGTTTTTAGCCAAGAGGCTAAACAAACTTTGGCCGAAAGGCTGTGCGCTTCCGCTTCCTGGATGACACGCCAGTTGCTATGGAAACAGATTTGGCGTTCAAAGACCACAATGGATTTTTCTCTTATCTTCTTTTAGATGGGATTTTTTATTATTATTACAAGGAAATAATGTTTAGTTGTAAAAGAATAAAAATACCTTCTGCATATTCAACTGTGTTTTGTTTTTATGTGGAGGATAACTGTATAATTTTCAGTGAGTAGGGAACTAACAGATTTGAACTTGTTTATTTACCCTAATTAGTATATTTTTAACGTTACAGTGTTATTATTACAAGCAGTGAATAACACTGATGATCAACGTGTATTTAATACATAATCATTTCCTGGAGCATCTGATTACACATTGTTATTGTTAGTTCTAATGTGTCTATGGTTTATGATTGTGTCATATATTATTCTGACCAAATGTTTAGTAGGAAAGACATTCAATTATTCATATCATATCATGTTGCTCTGTCTTGGATCTGCAATTTGCCAATAATTTCAGAAGGTGGCATTACATCACAAATAATAAATGATCATGCCAACTATGATGTATTTATTTATTCATGAAATAAATAAACAATTTATTTACAATTTATAACATTTTATAGCTATCTATCTTCTTAATTTATTGGCAGTACGATAGGTTATTAAAGTTATTTTGAGGTTTTAAATATCGTGTTATGCTTTTAATTCGATAGTGAGAAGTATGAGCTCTTGTATTAAAGAAAATATTACAATTGACTCTAAAAAATGCTGGGTTATTTCAATCCATGTTTGGGTCAAATATGGACAAAACCAACAGCTGGGTTTAAAAACATAAATAAATTTTTTAAACCAAATAAAAACACATTTTGCTTTTTTAATCCGGAGCTCCAAAACATTCATTTTTGTTTTTCGTGTTTGACATATGCTGTCAAAACATGTAATAATAACTATAATAGAGGATCAAAGAAGTTATTTGCGGGATCAGGATGGGTTTAGCACGTTGGACCTTTTCGCGAGAGAAAAAAAGGTCCATCCAGCTCTACTCGCAGTCATCCGCCCCCCACATGACGTAGGCTTCTCCCACAATCCCTCGCGCGGTCACATCATGGCGGACGAGCTGGCGCAAGAGCTGCAGTCCGTAGCTGCAAAAATGCAGATATTACCGAACGGGGACTCTCACCTTCCCAAAGTAGACGCGGATCCCGTGGACGAGACCGGGAAGAAGAAGAAAAAGAAGAAGAAGAAGGGAAAAGCGTTAGCCGTAGGTAATAAAGACGGAGGAAAGTGTCGCGTGGCCCTGCCATTTACTGCCCTTTCTGATTAACCCATTAGAGCTCGCTATTCTTATATCTAATTCAGAGGACATTCTTTTACTAGAGACTAAACGTGTTTTAACAGACCTTCATGTTTATTTCATGCTCTGGAGTGTTTCGTTAAAGGCTGGTTGGAGGGTTAAACTAGCTGGCGAACTCATGGCAGTTGTGTAATGTTGTTATGAGAGGGCGCACGTGTGTTATATGTCTATGTGCTTTATGTCTGTCAAATGTATGCTGCATTACAATATCTTCATCGAATTCCCTTGACTATTCTGCAGAAGTGTAAAGAGTCCCTGAAAACCATACTTAATAAAAATACAGATGCCTTACAGTAAAAATGACCCATTACAAGTTACCAATACCATTTGAGTTAAAGTCTTGAGCATTTGATTTTGACAGTACTTTAGTATTTTGTACTCATAATGAATGTAGGAGATGCATTAGTCCTCAACATCCAAGAGACATGCCAGTGAAAAACAAGAATTAGGAGTAGAGCAATCACATTTTTGTTTATAAAATCAAAATTAAACTGAACATCTCAATATTGCAACTGACTGAACTAACAGTTGCAGAAATAAACTGCTGAAGATAGTCATGCAAAATGTAACAAGAAACTGCATAACTCATTACAAATGTATTGGAGTAAAGAGTACATATAATTAATCAAATATGTAGTCAAATAGAGAGTTGAATTTGCTAATATCAGTACTCTACAAAGCTACAAAGTAACCAAAACGATACTTATTACATTTACTCAAATACTTTACTCCACTGCTATTCTGCATAGGGAACCATGAGGGTGAAGGAGAGTCGGACATCACCAAAGTGGCCAAACAAATGGAGCGACAAACTTTAGAAGACCAAGAGAAAGAGGACGAGCCAGAAGAAGGTTTGTCTAAAGTTAATTAAAGATACCATTGCAAAACCATGTGCATATGCGACAAGCTTAGGTTTGAGCACGAATCTTTTTTTTTTTTTTTTTTTTTTTTTTTTTTTTGGCAGATGGTGAGGAGGGAGATTCAACTGGAAAGAAGAAGAAAAAGAAGAAGAAAAAGAAAGGCCGTGAGTGATTATTCAAATACTTCATACTGTATAAAATGCCCTTGTCACTCACAATATGGTTGGATGTTTATATAGTTAATATTCCTTGTTCTCTTTCAGCCAAAGTTCAAACAGATCCTCCATCTGTTCCCATCTGTGAGCTTTATACCAGTGGAGTTTACGCCAAAGGCCAGGAATGTGAATATCCACCTGTGCAAGATGGGTACAGACAACCGCCGCTTATTGACACACTCTATAGCCTGTAGTCAACCAGTCTAAAGAAACTTTATAGTGGATGTGTGTTATCTTTGCAGACGGTCTGCGGCGTGGAGGACGACCAGCGAGGAGAAGAAGTTTTTGGATCAGGCGAATGAGGACATGTGGAATGACTTCAGACAGGCTGCCGAGGCCCACCGGCAGGTCAGGAAGTACGTCATGAGCTGGATCAAGCCGGGCATGACCATGATCGAGATCTGGTGAGCAAAACCATCATGAGCTTTACTTTATAGGCTGCTTTTGCACTGATGATGTGGAAACTCGTTAAATGTGATACAAGACCTGTCGGGCTGTATTAGTAAATGCAAAAATGTCTTATATATATATATATACAAATAAGCAATTAGACCCCCCCCCCCCCCCCCCCCCATATAGTTTTTTAGTTTTGTGTGATTTAAAAAAAATCTGGTTTTCTGTGCCTGTTTTTAGGGCTGCACAATTTGGCCAAAATTGTGTGATTATTAATATGGCTGTAAAATATTGTTATTTAATAGTACTTTATTAATATTGTACATCATTTAAAATGTTATTATTATTGCTAAATTAAAAGTATAAAACTTACTAAAAATGTATAGTATTACTATTGTTGTTTTGCTGGTGTCTTAATTTCTTTTCCTCCAAACTTTAAACCATCAATTTTATTTTGACAAAACTGAAAGCTTCTTTTATTAAGGACTTCTTATTTAATATTTTTTATTCCTTCATATATATATATGTATGTTATATGTATATATGTGTGTGTGTGTGTGTATGTAGAGCATTGGCTGCTTGAAATTGTAGCAATGTTGTTCTGCATTGTCCCTGTTAAATAAACAAATAAATAAATGACAAGTTTGGGAAGATGTTGCGTTCCTAAAATGCATGTTAAAGCGACCCAAATTTGTTGTAAAAGAACACAGTACCGCACTTCACTCTGAAACACGCAACGTATATATACTATATTAAATCGCATTGAGGTTTTATTGTCGAGAAATATTACAGCCTTAATTGCTGTAGTTCCATATTGACACTCATTGGCTCTCATTCATGAAACACGAGCAGAACGAATTTTTGTGTAAATCGTGTGTAAAGTGGTTCTGGTGTAAATTTTCGGATTCATTGAAATGGTCGTATTTTCCAAATGTTAGTTGGTACACAAGAAATCCACACCTGCTCCCAGCCACGCGTAAATAGTGCGCTTAACACCCGAACGTTTTGCTCATTAATAACTAAGGCTGCATTTTAATTCACCTTAATCGGGTACATATTTGCACAGCATTTTGAAAAAATATTATATATAGTAATTACATACGGTTTTTCTTTTTACTTCTGGGACTGTTTGATTAACAGATGAAACTCCATTAACTGCATCTGTAATGGACCTGATATTTTTAGGACCTGATACGCCACTATGTAGCCGACGCTTGAAAATAAAACGTGGTGTTTTGAATGAACTTCTGATAATAAAACTTCGATTTCTGCATCTGAGAAATTTTTCTTTTTCATTCGCTTTTGAGAAGACATGTTGAAATCCTTCGTTTGGTGTCATACTATGATGCCCATATATAGTTGTCAGTCGGATTTAATGGGCGGGATTTATGGTAATTGAGAATGAGCGTGCACGCGCGTCCCATTTACGACTGATTGGAATTCATTAACACACACACACATTTCACTATCACATCTGACGTTTACGAAGTATTTGTGAATCAGGAGAAGAGTTTTCGGGAAGGTCTCTTTACGCGCAAATCACTCTCATATTTACTCGTATATTTACGAATGTTTCATGAATGAGACCCATGAGCACTAATCCACTAATCACATCTTGTTTTTTCCCTGACAGTGAGAAACTGGAGGATTGTTCTAGGAAGCTGATCAAGGAAAATGGTCTGAATGCTGGTTTGGCTTTCCCGACCGGCTGCTCGCTGAACCACTGCGCGGCTCACTACACTCCTAACGCCGGAGACCCCACCGTTCTCCAGTACGACGACGTCTGCAAGATTGACTTCGGCACGCACATTAATGGTGCGTCTTTAATCAGTCCTTATCTGGCTTGATTCCTTCCTGGTGCTTTTCTTGCTGATCTTTAGAGATGTTTGATTATTGTGGCATTCCAGGTCGAATCATTGACTGTGCCTTTACCGTCACCTTCAACCCAAAGTACGACAAACTGCTGGAAGCTGTGAAAGATGCCACAAATACTGGAATTAAGGTAGAGTCTCACCTTTTTGCATTGTGATGTTATTTTCCTGACAAGACACATTTTTCTCTTTGTCAATGTTGTTACTCTTTGCCATATTACAGTTAAATACAGTAAAAAGTACAAAAATACAGTAAAAACAGTAACATTGTGAAATATTACATTTTAAAATGTTATTCTTCTGATGGCAAAGCTGCATTTACAGCATCATTACTCCTAAATCT